AATGCCGAATGTTCCAGAGAATTCTGCAAGAAACCCGGCTTTTCTCTGGCCTAACCCTTGGCCCATTCCTCACCTCCTCACCACCACCTCACCCCTTCCCCTTCCTTCTTCCTCCCCCTCCTCCCTCCTCCCTCCCAGCCTCTGAAATCAGAGCTGTTTTTCTCTTGTTCCTTTTGGACTCTGAAAAAAGCCATGTCACAAAGCTGGTGACTCAGCCTTTGAAAGCTGAATCACAAGGCACACAGCAAAGCAACTGCCGAAAAAGCAAACAGGGTGTGGCTTAAGCCAGGCCTGGTCACCTTAGTCTCAGCTTTTTGTAACTTTGCAAACTTCCTGAAATTTATAAAGAAATCATTTTTACAGAAACCTGCATTGGAAACCACTGGGTCTCCTCCTGATTGGGAAACACATTCTTTTTATCATGTATCTTAATTTTTCAGGAACGTACATTCGTTCTCTGTGAAAAATACGAAAAATCACAGAGGTTCACAACTCTATTTTAGATTGCACTCAGAACTTGTATTTCCACACGGCGCCGCATAAAATACCCAGTAGTTGTTTAGCTTTGACTCAGTTTAAATAAACTGTTTAGCTAGCATGTTCATAGTTAAAACACAGAAGTGTAGTCTTTCTAAAGGCAAAACATTTTTCATTGGTTGCCTCTTTTTCTGTATTTTTCTCTTTGAAGGATGGAAATGAAATATCCTAACACACACTTGTAGGAACATGGACTCTTTCTGGAAGTGTCCTGAAGGAACAGTGGCATCAAAGAGATTTCACTGTAAACATTTTAAAAGCCTGCTTTAAATGACAACATATTCACATATTTTTAACAATTTTAATAATATGCTGAGGAACTGACACATAAAGATAACAAAGTAGGTTCTGGCAAAGAAAAATCTGGCTGGTGCCCCCCCCATCTCGAAATGGAATTTGCCCATAGCATTCCGTTTCCTGTTTGACATATTGGAATTTCTTCCAGAAAGTCAGGGTTGACATTAGTGTCTTAAAAACGCGGCAGGAATGGGTTCGGTTTCGCAGCCCAGCTGGTGGGTCCCGGTCCTCGACATTTCGAGGCGTCCTCGCTGACCCCCGGGGGAGCCCCCGTCCCGCTCCGCTGCCCCCGGGGGCCCAGGTCCGGCCGGGGGAGGGCGCGGCCGCAGCGGCTGAGATCTGCCGAGTCACCCGCCTTGTCCCGGTGCCCGCCCGGGGGGAGGGGCGCGGCCGCCACGAGTGGGGGGGCTGGGGTCCCCGAGAGGCCCCGCCGCGGGCCCGGGCTAGCAAACCCCGGGCCC